GGCAAACTCTTTAACTGAGTTATATTTAAAAAGAAAGGGGACAGTGGGAAAAACTCCTTTGAATTGGATGTGGAGAGCTAGTTAGAAATAACAAGAGGAAGCTAAGAACGGTTTGTGCCAATCATCACAGAGTAAGAAGGTTCCTGACTATGAAGTATGTTCAGCTGAGAAAGAAACTCCAAAGGGAAGTGGAAGGAGCCCCGTCATTTGAAATACTCTAACAGGAGTAGACAAAGCACTCCAAAGTGCGCTGCAGGGAGCAGTCTTTTTTTGGCAGGGAGCAAGACTTGGATGACCTCATAGCTTCTTTCTATCTCTATTAGAATCACAGAATCCAAAGTCTTTTTCAGAGCAACAGCACAGCCGGCTTTGAAGGTTTGCCCAGTTTTGGCATCGTCACATTGGTTAGTGCCACTCTGTATCCTCCAGCACCTACAGATTCCCAAAGCAATAGTTAATAGCTCTGCTGACAAACTCTCCGATTAGTGTGAAATACTAGCAAGCTGTGGAATATATTTTGATGAGTTTTCATCACCAAATGGACCAGATCTAAAAAGGAGCATAAATAAAATTTGCAGTTTTCATGTAAGATAGTTAGGCAGAAAGACATTGTTTGCTGTATTTTGATATCCCCTTTGCTGCACAGTGATTACAGTGGCCAGTTAGTTATAGCTTGCCAGTTTTCTTTCTGAAGTCAGATTTCAGTCCTACTTTTCTATAGTAAGTGTTTGATTTAACAGAGATGAAATCTGTCCAATGTATTAAATTGTAACAAGAAAAGAAGTTTAGCACATACTGGTGTTGCAGCTGCATTCCCTATTAAAACCCAGTAGCCAGACTTTGAAACACAGGCAGCTTTCTCAACTGTACAGCTCCAGTTAAAGATTTTTTTAAGTAAAAGACTAATTCTTAGGAACCAGTGAAAAAAATTCTAAAAATTATACTCTCCTATATACTATACTATGTAAATACCACAGATCCATTGCATATCATCATTGCTTATAGCTTCGTAACAGTGCAATGATTCTTAAACATCTTCTGCCTCTCCCTTCCAATGAGACATTTTGGTGGGAGAGAAACTCTGTGTCTGCCCTACATCGGGTCACTCATTTATGTTTTCCCTCTCAGCTTGGCTGCAAACCACCAGAAGGTGCAAAAGTAGCTTTCGTGCCCAAGGGCAGCATTTTTCTCCCATCCACTTGATTTTCAGGCTCTTTGCCCAGGCTGGCTCTACTGCCGTGTTCTCCTCTGCCCTTCCCAGCACGACTCAAAGGCAGCAGAAAGCAGTGGGAAGGCTCTGTGCTCACTTTGCAGAGATTGTTTTCACTCCCAACAAAGAATGGCTGGAGCACTGCAGAGAAACAGGACTTGCTCTTTCTAGACCTCTGCTGTCTGGGGGCACTTTATGATTATTTGTGAATTCGGAGAAGGTTTACTAACATTGTCCTGAGAAGGCCGTAAGGAGCCGTGGTTCTTTGCTAGCATCACCTGGGTAAATCAGAGGAGTTGTTTTTCAATGCTCTGATGCGCCCTGTGCTCTGCCTTTTTACCTTGCCTGCCAGACCAGCCTTGATAGTGATGCTGCTCACTCGAGAGGGAAAGGAAAGAAGTTTTCAATTGTGTCTGCTGTCTGTGTTTGTCAGTGGAAAAATGGAAATCTCTTGGGGAAGAGTGGGAACAATTGAATTATTTTATGCTGAGGCACAGTAAAACTCATTTTCAAAATTATTGCCTAGTGTCCATAATTTATTCACAGTACTAGTCCCAGTAGAGTTAATAAGACTGTTACTCACTTAAAATTAAGTATGCACATAAGAGTCAGTAACATCAGAATCCAATGTTTTACTTCTGTTTTTTTTGAAATCTCTTTGTGACAAAATATCTTTTATTATTTCAGAGTTGTTAGAGGTTTAATAGCATGTTCCCTAGTGAATTGTGAGCTTAAGCAGAAACTTTTTGAAAAGGAGTCCAAGTTTCTGAGCGCTAGCAGGGCCCTCGCAGAAAACCTCCAGGAAATGCCATTTCTATGTTTAGTGCGCTGCCATGATAACTCTGTAGGGATGTGAGGCGGAAAGCACAGAGTGGGAGAGGTTTGACAGAATTGGAAACTGAGAAATTGCACCTTCTGGATTGTCATGTGCTAAAAAATCAGACGAGGTTAAAGGAAAAAGGTAGAGAAGGGAACTAGAAGAATATGCTAGTGATAATAAGAACAAGGTGGGAACCACAGATGCTGAAAGCGAAGAGGAAAGAGGTGGTCAGATTTATGAATGTTGATTCATATCCAGTAGTCACTTCATTGACTATTGAATGTACAGCTTTATTATATGTGATTTCTGCTAGGCCTGGGTTTCAGCAGCACTTCACTGAGGCATGTCTTAATAACGGGAAGGGAGCAGAGGCCAGCAGTATCTCTGGGCAGCTGGACAGTTCTGACATACACTTTTCCTGCCCCAGAGGTTTTTTGCTACTGTTGCCCAAATAGAATTCTTTTTAAACCAGTCTTAAATTCAAATAAAGTACTTCCTGACCTTCGTTACACTATCATTCTTAGCAGTGCTTATGGATAAGGTTTTTTAAATTGTCTCTTTTTTAAGATTTTCTCTATTTGACAAATGTTGGTAAATAATAAATAAGATAACTCTGTCTGTTAAAGGAGATACCAAGTGGTTGAGATGATGACTAGTTCTTTTAAGAAGAGTTACCTGTCTGCAAAAGCCTATCTAAAGATTGGAGATGTCAGTTGTTTGGAAGAACTCAGTTAAAGGCATTGTCTGTTTCTACACTACTAGGGCTTTTACAGAACAAAAATGTATATAAAAAGGCAGAAATATAGGCATTATTAACAACTGTTTTTTGCAATATTTGATTTTGTTTCCCTATGCACAGAGTTATTTTTAAAGCCTTTGCTGCATACTCCTAAATACCTGTGATTTGGCTTGCCATTTGAACAGCAACGCAAGCGTGACTTACGTACACATACCCTTTATAGAGTAGCATTAATTTAGCCTGGCATGTACACCTTATAGTGAAGCTCCTGTGGCCTGGGTTTCTGCTGCCCCTGTGTCCTGGTTGAACAGATGGGTGTTGTAGCTTCACTGCTGTTGCTGTGAATCCAGCGGTGGCCCTACTGCTCTTCAGCTGGTGGGAGGCTTGACAGAGCGTGTTGCAGAAAACATGGGCGCATGTGCACACCTGTAACACCACAGAGGCTTAAGAGAGCACTACAGTGTAAAACAAGGATAGTATAACATTAAAGGTGACGCACAGAAGTGGTAATTAGCGCTTCAGGCTCTGGGTGTTTTGTGGCCGTTGAACAAATGTTGGAAGGTGGTTCCTGTTACGCACCTTGCAGGAGAGCAGGTCAAGCTGCAGCTGCCTAACCGTGCCTGCTGCAGGCAGTGCCCCTCGTAGGGCACTTTACATCCTTTTCCTCTCAATATGACTTGGAAAAGCAGTCTAAAATTGCTGGGTGTTTGGGTTGTATCTCTTACTGCGAGGAACTGTTCACACTGATGTGCAATGCCTCAGGGCTTAGCCCTGCCCCGTCCATCAAGGTTGAGAGACTTCCCAGAACGGCAGGTAAAACGCTGTTCACTACTCCTGCCTTGACCTCGACAGTCCCAGCTTTTATAGAAGACTTTTGAAGCAAAGGAACTGGCGGGGGGGGGAGGAGATATTTTTCCATCTCCTTTATTTTTAGGGGCTGAACTTGTGAAAGCTTTGTTCTCCTCCAAAGGGACCTCTAGCTGAGGTCTCTCTGTGTCTCATCCCTCCTTTCCCAAACTGAGCACTGCAGTACTCTGTCTATAAAAAGACCTCAAAACAGTCCGGAAAAGATCTATCAGGACTGCTCCTAACAGACTGCAGTTTTATGATCAGTTTAACCAGATCCAGTTCTCCACCCATCTACTTCTAGCTATGTTTTCCTCACTTCTGATGTTTCATCTTTACGTTTTACAGTGTTGATTTTTAGGCATCTTGTGTTGTTTCTTTTCTTTCTAATCACAGAGCTGAGGGGAGGAAAGAGGTAAGAACAGCTCTTTTGACGGAAGTCCAGATTTATCTTCGTTAAGTAGATTATGAAAAATGTACAGGAGTGGGAAGTTTAAGGTTTTCGTGGGCTGTTAGAAGTTTTAAGTTATCTCACTTAGGATACAGGAATG